AGTATTTACCATTTTATAGTCTGACTAGAGGCCCAGTGCATGAAATTCGTGAACCGGGGGCGGGGGGGGAGGGTGCGAGGAGGGCTCAGCCTGGCCTGCACCCTCTCCAATCCAGGACCCCTCAGGGGATGTCTGACTGCCTCTTGCAATCCGGGACCACTGGCTCCTAACCGCTCGCCTGCCTGCCTGCCTGATCGCCCCTAACCACCTTTGCCTGCCTGCCTGATTGCCCCTAACTGTTCCCCTGCTGGCCTGATTGCCCCTAACTGCCTCTGCCTCACCCCACACCTGGGACCCAGGATTCCATCCTCCAGCCGGTCGCAGGCACCCGGGACCCAGTCTTCCCTTCCTCTGGCTGGCCGGAGGCACCCAGGATCCGGGCTGGCTTCGCCCAGGCAGCTGCAGCTGCAGGGGACCATGGGTGGGCGGCTTCACCCAGGCCGCAGCCACAGGCACCCAGGACCGCAAGGCATGCGGCTTGTCCCTCTCCCGAGCCGCAGCCTGGCTCATCCCCATTCCTCTCTTGTGAGCTCATTTGTGCCTGGCTGGTCCCCATTCCTTTCTCCCCAATGTTGAGTGTCTGAGCTGTTACATTGTGAGGGCATGACGACCATTTGCATATTAGCTCTTTATTGTATAGGATTTTTATTTAAACCAGCGGTTCTCAACCTGTGGGTCGCGACCCCTTTGGGGGTCAAATGACCCTTTCACAGGGGTCGCCTAAGACCATCGGAAAACACATATATAATTACATATTGTTTTTGTGATTAATCACTATGCTTTAATTATGTTCAGTTTGTAACAATGAAAATACATCCTGCATATCAGATATTCACATTATGATTCATAACAGTAGCAAAATTACAGTTATGAAGTAGCAACGAAAATAATTTTATGGTTGGGGCTCACCACAACATGAGGAACTGTATTAAAGGGTCGTGGCATTAGGAAGGTTGAGAACCACTGATTTAAACCATTGCGCACTGAAACCCCAAAGTCTAAAAGCTCAGATACCACCCTGGCCGGTGTGGCTCAGTTGGTTGGAGCGTCATCCTCTGCACCAAGAGGTGGCGGGTGTGATTCCTGGACTCTCCCTCCCTCTCTCTCTCCCACCCCCACCTCCTTCCTCTCTCTAAAAATCAATTACTAAAAAATATTAGAAGAAAGAAGTTCACATGCCCCCGCAGCCTTGCAGCTGAGTTAAAGGACGTCACCGTGCTATGCAGAGTAGCTGCCCCACAGCAGGTTTGTTAAGGAGACAGATCTGGTGCAGCAGCATCAGAGCATTTCCACGTCAGGTGTGTGAGTGCTTTGGAAGCCTCCGAGGAGAATCCCTGACACGCCTGGCAAGCCCAGAACCTGGTCTCTCCTTCTTCCTCGCTGCTTCACATCGCACTGACGTGGTGCACAGGGGGAGGCCCGGAAAGAAGGAAACAAACCCACTGCTTGAGAATTTAGACTGCAGAGCTCACTCGCTCAAGTCATAATCCACAAAAGCCAGCAAAATCACACACAGGTTCGCATATTTCCAAGAGCCACCCTTGGGCTTTTTCAAAGGACAGGAGTATGCATCTAGGCTTTGCAATGTACCATTTGGTTAGAAACATTTAATCACATCTCCCCAAACTGTTGTGCTTAGAAGTTACACACCAATGGATTTTTTACTTCAAAGCCAAGCAACCTGAAAGATTTCCAAGCATGTCACGCATCACATTTAGCTGCCTTTGCTATGAAGGGCTTCCAGCCAAACGGCTCACACTCGTAGCCTAGAGAAGCGGAGGCAGAGAAAATTTTCAGCAAATAGTAAGCTCCTGAAATACATTGTATTATGCTGGTTCTGAATAAACTACACCAGTTTCCTCATTTAGATGATCAGAGCTGTTCATCTAAATGGATCTTAAAGATATATCAGCTCTACTCTGTGCATCAGAATGCAATAATTCATTACTTAACATCTAGCCCTTCTCCTGCAGCTTTTTCTTGCTCCCCTCCCCCCACCATGATTTCTGCCTCGTCTCTGTCTTGCCTATAGACACCACCTGAAGGGCTCACTGTGAAGGTTACCTGTGTGCTTGTCCTGTTGGTGTCACTGGATGGTAAGCAAAGGCCCAGTGTGGAAGTTGTCCTGTTCACATATCCTCTCAGAATGCCTTGCTTTGAGTCACTTCTAAATATTTGTCGGCTCCCATTGATTTCCTAAACAGCCTAATCACCCTCTGGCTTCATCTCTGTGAGGTCCCAACCAAAAGTGTGCACACACATTTTAGTTTTGTTGGGGTTCTTCTTATACCCTATGTTTATATTTCAATATTTAGGATATACAGTATAAGGGAATTTGGGGGGATGGGGCCAGCTGCAGGCAGCTGGGGAAGATGGCCCTGATTGCAGGCCAGGCCTAGGGACCGTACCTGAGCACGAATTTCATGCACCAGGCCTCTAGTACAGTATAAGAGAATTTGGACTAGTAGGTTTGCTTTGTAACCTATTAGATAAGCTTTGTGAGTTACATTTAACCTTCAGATCATGCATGCATCCTAGTCATTTTTCCTTTGTTCATTAGCAATAATTACAAGTTCTTAAAGAAACATTAAAAGTCAGACGTATAATTAAATGTCTTTCCCTCCTGCTTCCTCACATGAACAGTGATAGAGTTAACACTACAGAGACATCCATAGCCTCAGACTTCAGTCATGCGCGTCCTTTAGGTTCCTGGGCCTTTCATGCTTTCATTTCTGCCTGAAATCCTTTGTGGAACAAACTAGGGCATCAAGAAATGAAAGGATTATTTAAAAAAAGAAAGAAATATGTCTTCATTAGAACTTTCTTATCAGTCGAGAAGTAGGCATTTAATTACTTAATATGCAACAGGCTGGATGCTAAGGATACAAATGAATAAAACTATATGAATATTCCTATCTGGATATTCCAGCTTTTCTTGACCTTTATGACATCTTTGTTGATCATATATCTGTACACTAGTGTCTTTCATCCTAGATGTGTATTCATTGAAAAATGCGTACATGTAGGCAAACTGAAATCAGGGAAGAATATTTTCATAAATTATTTTCAATCTGTTAAAATATTTTGAGCCTCTGCACATAGATTGTGTTTACATAAACAAGCCTTTTATCGGAAGAAACTAGCCAAAACATATGCTTGTGAATCACAATATTTTGACCCAAGAAAAAATGTTTCTACCCTTTTCCATCTTCAATTTTTTTGCCATATCGGAGTTTTCCAAATGAAGTGTCTCAGATAGGTTGTCTCCAAGTCAGTTCACCTCTACGAGGCCTCGGTTAGTCACCAGTGGACGGTGACTTACTTACCTTTAGCCTTCCACACACAACAGATATGTTCCTTTGAGGTTGGATGTTTATGAATTTGGTAGAGATCCTTTTGAAAAGTTAAAAGTTCTTTTGAAATATGAATATATCTCCTCAATTATAGTAACTGCTATGTAACTAGGGACAGTTACTGCTTAAAGCAACCTGTACCTGCTTAAATCAACCTGTATCTCAAGATAAACAATTAGCACGGGGAGGTGGTCAAAGCTGCACTATACTTTTGAAAGCATGACCCAATGTCATGCATAGAAACAAACTTTCCAAGACCTGTGCCAGATGTTACAGCTAACCCATCTGAGCACATGAAAAATACTAGCCCTTAGATTGGTATCATTTTCTTCATTATTATGTCAGTATTTATTTCTGTGGAAATCGTAAGTTCCTAGAGAAAGTACAGCCTTGAAATAGAATCATCTTCAGGTCAACTTACTAGACCAAGGGAAGCAGGTGTTTGTGGGAATCCTTAATTGCTGAAAAGCTATATTCCAGGGGTCCTCAAACTTTTTAAACAGGAGGCCAGTTCACTGTCCCTCAGACCGTTGGAGGGCCGGACTATAGTTTAAAAAAAAACTATGAACAAATTCCTATGCACACTGCACATATCTTATTTTGAAGTAAAAAAAACAAAACGGGAACAAATACAATATTTGTATTTGCATGTGGCCCGTGGGCCGTAGTTTGAGGACCCCTGCTATATTCGATTGAAAGATAACATTTCGGAGCTCTGGCAAAACCAAAACAAAGCCAAAAAACAAGCCTGCCATCATTATGTGATTTTTTTTTTCAATTATGCTTTTATTTATGCATCTACATGTTTTTATTGCTACCTAAATAAGAAAATCTTCATACATTTAGGTTTGGATTCTAGAAATGCTCCACTGAGATTCCTGGTCCCGATTTTGTGATGGCTGTAATTTGTGAAATCTAGGAGGGGCCGAATGGTTATATTGGGCTTCAGTCTGAAGACCTGTTTTAATAGGAATTTTATATGCAAGGCTAAATGCTGATCAACAGAGCATAATATTGTATCTTGAAATGTGCTCGTGAAAACAAAATTAATTTTTTTTCTTCTTTCTTTCCTTCTCCCAAACCATCTTCTGCCGTAGCGACTGCATTTGCCTCCAGACTTGTCAGACACAGTGAGCCGCTCAAGCAAACCGGATCTGGCAGACTCCACCAAGCTGCAGGGCCCAGGCTGTGGCACGATGGCCGGAGGCAAGAAGCACCTGGACTTCTAGATGCCTCCCTAGTTGTTGCACGCAGAATTATGACACTCTAATTATGAGTGCTAAGAGCTTATGTAAATATTTTTCTTAACGATCTGACCCTCCAATTCTTGAAAAACACAGGATTGCAAAATGATGCCCCCAGTCTTCATTTTTTTAAACCAAATTTTTGTACAGAAATAATACAGAAGAAATACTTTCATTTTAAAAATGTGTTTTATGCTACCTCTAAGGAAAATAGGCACTTTTATTTTTAAATAAAATGTCAAAAGTTCAAGATGCCACACAGTGGTCATGGCTGTATATTTATTAAGGCACTTAGCTCATGGTAAAGTGCGAGTCACAGGGGGGTAGTGTATAAAGCATTCTGAAATTCAAAATTGTGTATGAAAAACATATTTTCTCTTTCTTAAAAAGTCACTTGCCACCCAAAATGCTAAGCTTTATAAAACATTGAAAAATGTGTTTGCTAATATATGAAGACCAATAATAAAATGAATTTGCATTTATGCATCCTATGATTAAATTGATGAAGACAAAATAATATTTTGGGATTAAGCTCCATTAAAGGTAATTAGTCTGCTGTAGTAGTTAATGAATATAAAGGACTTGAGTGCTAGAAAGCATAGAGAAAGAAGTTGATGGTCTTCTATTTAGTAATCTTAAACAATTGAAGTCAGCACTACGAAATTATGTCAACACACATAATTTGGGATTGAAATTCAAACTGACAGCTACATTCATGCTAGAAAACTGGGGAAAACATGTATGGAAGCTTGGTGAGGGATTTTTACAGAACATAGGGCTGAGACAAAGCAGAAAACGAGCTAACTCAGCCTGCATTAGGTAAACTCTTTGTTAATTATGAACATTGAGCACTTACATTTATAACCATATAGACATGTATTTGGGGTTTATAGCATACTGAACCAGTTTTCATATGAAACACTAGGATTTTGAATCATAATTCTACACTCTCACAGCTTTTGATAAATAGTAGACCAAAAAAAATTGTTAAGTAATTTGCATATGTAAGTAAAAAGTTTCAATTTTTTAAAGCTATTTAAAGCTGTTACAACCTAAATTTCCAAAATACATTTTCAAATATGTTAGAGTATTTTGAAGCAGTTTTATAACTAGCATTTTAAGTAGTTTGCTTTTAACATACCACAAATTACACTTTATTTGTTCTTGACAACATTGTAGAAAACAAAGACTAGGTTTTTAAACTGTCTAACCAATCTGATGAATGTCAGTCACTTAAAAAAAAAACCCACTGTAGCATAAACACACACTGTATACAGCTTTTATTCAGAATTAGAATAATTGAATCAATGACAGTGATTCGCCAGGATGTCAAATCTCTCCATCAGATCCTGTCACTACCAGTTTATTTTTTGTGATCAAAATCAAAAAGACAACTATTTTGTCACCCACTATTTCATTAGTACTAAAAATCAGATTTCTTTTTTCCTTTTTTTTTTTTAGAATGTCTGGTTTATTTTTTTTTCACTTCTTTTAATTCAAGAGACACAAATTCTTTCCCATTTTCATTTCAAAATAAAGTTTCAGAATTGATCTGTCAGTTAAAATTAGAGGGCTTTTTATATTAAGCAAAGGTGCTTTTAAAATTTAAAGCAACTTCAGAAACTCAATTTAGTCCATAGATAATAAAGCATGTGCAGTTACTCCCCAAAAGCTTTGCTATATCCTTTGAAAGCATTATGAACAATATGAATAAATTCAAATGACTATTTTAGTCTGGTTATTATTTTAATAACTCTAACCTTTTTCTTACCGTGTTGTGACTCATTTATGCAAACACACAACGGAACAATTACATAGCATTGGACTCTGAAAAAAAAAAATGTGAGGTCATCAGATATGTAAATTGCTTGTCAAAAATACTTAATAGGTCATTGATTTACTACCCTGGCTACCATGTCTATAAAATTAGCAGCCAATTACTAGTTAATGTATGCTTTGCAAACAGATAAATGCTATAAAAATTGAGCATATTTGATCCCAACTTATTTTAAATATAAAAGAAACTTTTCAAACTCAGTAAAAGTGAATTTTGAACAATAGTACTTGGGCCTTCCAAAAATTAGATGCAAGTGTTTGGTTGTTCTGATTCACTAGACAGGCTTTATAAAAATTAGCTACTGAAGAGGGATGTATATTTTTGTTTTCCTCTGATAAAAATGTATTTTCCTTCTGGAAGCATTATCCAATTAGCCATATGTTAATAATTTACTACATAAAAATATCACTGATGCTACCATAGGTATGTGGACCATTTTTGATACATTATGAAATATACATTCTATAAACAGATTTTTTCAGTTATCAACTTGTCTCAAATACTTATGTAACAATGGCAAGCAGAGTTTTTTTTAAATGTTTCTAAAACTTCAAAACCCTCTCTGGTATTCATTTCTTACGCTAGATTTGCCTTTTTTTTTTGGTGAGGTAAATATTTTGACCACTGCAGTCTGCTCAGATCCTGGGGTTCTAAGACCTTAGGAATTACTTTCTGGTAACCACCAATTTCCACTTTTCTCTTTCTCTCTTCCATTTATTCTTTATTTGTACCTCCGGGATCTGCGATTACTAACACTACACAAAATAAAACTACTTCAAAAGAAGCAACACTTGGCAATCGATTCCCTGTCTTTCTTTTAATTTTAAAGAATCAGACACAGGCATCCTCATACAAAAGGAAAATGGGGGTGGGGTGGCCCCTATTCATTTGTTTAAGTCCATTATGAATGTCATTTCTAAAACATCATGTTAATGCCTTCCATAGATAGTCACCATCAACACCATCAAATTTAAGCAAGACTAACTTTAAATACTTACACTCTGAACTTTAAAACTGAGCAGAAGTGATGAAAAAAAAAAAACAGGTGAGGTTTATTCTGGAGAAACAAACAAAGGAAGAATTTGTGTTTGGTTTTGGTGAGCCAGACATTCAAAGAAGAGCCTTCTTTTTATAATCTTGTTAATGTGAAGGCCTAGGGAAAACCAAGAAGCAGAATATAGACACCACCCTAAGATGACAAAAATTCACAAAAAAAAAAAAAATGCTGAACCTTAACAAATACTGTATCTCAGGAAACTGGTTATGATTTTTTTTTTTTTTAAAGCAGGAGGAGATGAGTATGTGAGCCGTATCAAGAAAAGTCAGTGGGTCACCACGTAAGAGTCAGGAGGTACAGCTTTGGAGGGAAAATATTCTGGAAATTTCTTGTAGTAAAAAAGAATTTTTTTACTCAGTAACCTGAATGTTTCTTACTCAAACATTCACCTCTGACTCTGTTCACCTGGTCTTCCTAAGCCAGCCAAGTTTGAAGGAAAAGTATAAGTTGTTAGTCGTGTGGTTCTACTGAGGACACCCCCAAATACCAAGCCACCGTCCTGAAAGATGGTGTCAAAGCTTCCCTGCGGAGTTCCCACCAATACATACATACATACATACATACATACATACGCCTAACTGTAAATAAACAGTTTCAACAATAAGTCGAAGGCAGCCTCCTGGGCATTGCTTCCACACAGTGCTGGCCATGCTGTCCCCGGGAAGGTGCCCAGAGCTGCATTCAGGGTACCGCTCATCTCCCCAGGGTGAGAGCAGAAGGCATGGCAGCCTTGCATCCTGGTGGATCAGAGGGCTTCTGCAGCTGAGCAGCCGCTTCTTCCAACTCGGCCAGGCCGTGCCACTGTGCCCTGGAAATCTAGTCCCTCAGAGGTCACGGGCCCAAGTGCACACGCACCGACTCTCCACTCCCCCAGCACTCCCCTTCTCCCATTCCCAGCTCCTGCACCCAAGGGCCACCAGTTCTAAGTCTATACACAACAGAGCCATGGGCCAGAACTGGTTGCCTAACCCTGGCCCAAATCACAGCCAGTTGGAAACGGTCCCCCTTCTTCCAGGGAAGAAGCCAGGCAGCAGCTGCAGCACACACCACACGTAGCCCTTCCGACAGTTCCCTGGATACATGTCCCTCTGGGAATGTAGGCTGTGAAATGTCAGGAGGTAAAAACACCTGCATGGGCAACTGTACCAACAGTGCATATGTCTGCACATGCCACTGCGGAAGTGTGCAAGCATGCAGTGCAGACTGACATTGAATCAAACTACACACACACATGAAAAAGCTACAATCAACCTAGAAAGGTGTCTCTAAATGCACAGCAACTCTGGTGGAATAAACGCATTAACACATAGCATGCCAGAGAGATGAATCACAATGATCTGTTCACAAGTGACTCCTTAACGAGAAAATAGGAGATGTGGAGGTAGAAGGTTGTTTTTTTAAAGCCTCCAATTAATTTCTATATTTCTGATCATTTGCTTTTGGGGGTTCAAAACATAACAAATAAAAAGCACAGTACAATTCAGTGGAAGTGGGTCTTTGTCCCCAGAGGTTTCTGCCTGTGCAAGCATTTAATCTAGACTGCCGGGACCCCCAGCCTTTGATGGAAGTTTGCAGAAGGAAACATCTATATTGACTTATGTGTTGCACAGAACATACAGAAATAAAAGTCTCAGACAGGTTTTCAAAACAACAAAGGCTTATTTTCTTCCATCCTTTGCTTGGGCTCAAGCACTCCTGCCCTGCGTGCCGCCACTTTAAACATGATCAGATCTGTGCTTCATTGCAAATAACAACTGACCAACAATGGGCCCTGCTTCATAGATTTGGGAATGTTTGGCTTAAGCTGCCAATGACTGAAGGCCTTTAACTCCCACCGGCCAGTCACAGTCTGCTTTGTTGTTGTCTGTTGATGTGTCTGTGCTCATTATTCCTTGACATGCAACATCCCCCCTCCACCCTCCAACCATCCACAACCGCACAGAAAGGGAGATTCAAATGGGAACAGCTGTAGTGGTTCAATGGGGAATGATGCCTCTGTGCAAAGGGGAGGGAGAGAGAAAAGGGAGAAAGGCAACAGCTTTCACAGAGTCTTGTATAAGAAATCTACTTTTGAATATACTTCAGTGAAATCGCTGTTGAAATAGGCTGACAATGGAAATCTGCCCAGATTGAAAATGTCAGCCCTAATTCAAAAGACAATTCTTAGTTAATAGCTTGTTGCATTTTTAAAATTATTTCTAGACTTTGAGCTTTTGGATGAAATGGCTAGCTGGAAAATGTTTCCATTTAGTATGTGCGTTGTGGGCATAAATGGGCACAGATCTACATGCAGCTTCAAGTAGAATTTTTTTCTAACACATTTCTGATTTATGATATCTTTAAGAATTATTTCTTTAAGGATCATCGGGTTTTAAAATAGAGAATGTATGAAAGTAACCATTGGTTTAGAATGTTACTCCAACATGGGAACAAAATTTGTAACACCACACTGTAAGGTTAAAAAGAAAATAGTATAATAAAGGAAATACAAAGGCTTTGGCATGGTTTTTACAATCAACAATGGTTAATTTTGATATGTAGTTGTGAACAACTTCAAAACACTTAAGTTTAAAACTCTTGCAAGCACTTTTAATTGATTAGGAATGAATTCTAGATGCACAAAATGATTGGACTGTGAACAGTAATACAACTATATCTAAGAACAATAAACTTTTGTTGGCCAAAAAAGAAACGCGTGATTGCATGAAAATGTGTATAAAACATCTATAGAGTATTCTTGTCAAATATAAATGAAATTAACTTTATTATAGAAATCATTCTGAGGATTTCTAGGGAAGACAAATACTTACATTTTGACATAAAACAAATTGGATTATATCGAAGACACACTCTACCTTTTAGCTATCAACTTTTTTCTTCCTTGAATTTATATCTTACCCTTTTTTGCACATAAACTTCATCTGTTAACAACCTTTGGAAAACCAACAGATATTTCTTACATAAATCTAGTGCATGTTGTTCCAGGTTTAATTATATGCAAAGGAATGATTCAAACTTGGAACCTCAGTCCATAAACTATGAACAGATGGGTAGAAGTAGTCGATATATCTTGATAAAATTCTTAAATTCATGGCGAAGCTTGTTGATCATGGTTTCCTTTTTTTAAAAAACAAAAAACAACTTCATGACCAGCACAGATCAAATGTCCATCCAGTCTACGTTGTTCTTTTTTTCATTATTACAAATGCCCATTTACAAATAATACACCAAAATGAATAAAAGTTTGGATACCAAAATGAAGATTTGTTCCAACTGATCTCATGCCTTCTGTATACAAAGGTCCTTGTTCCAAGTCCGTCCTCCAGTGGTACAATACTGGACACAATCGCAGAACTTTGAAGTGCTACTAACAGCCATTTTCCTTTCCTTCCTGAACGCCCAACTGCCGTGTCCACATAGTCACTGACTGAATTAACACAATATATTTTTTCTTTCTCTTTTTTTTTACTGTAATCTTGGCCAATATTGAGACATATCAGGTTCACTTCCAGGAACTTGAACTGGAACTGATACACCAGGGGAAATGAGTCCTGGAAGTGGATGAAAAAAATAGCCATGTAGATATTCCCTTTGAGAGACAGGCAAGGAGTATGACTTCATAGGTTCAAACAATGAGCTCTAATGCATTCTCACATTTGTACTGTATTTTTATATATCTTCAAGTGTTACACACCAAAGTAGCAGCTTCAGAAGCCACATAACATTTTGACACACCCCTATTGAATCCCAAGTCCCCTACGCAAAAGGAAAGAAAAAGCGCCCCATTGGTTGGTATGTTTGGAACCTCATGAAAAACTATCTCCGGAAAACCAATGTGGTACTTCAGTTGCAATGAGAAGCACAGAGGAGCTAGCGGGAGAGAAATCTTCCAGGAAGCACTCACTGCGCAGCTCAGGGAGCCCTCACTGCTGAACTTTGGCTAATGATAGCTCCTCCGAAACCTTACATTCGCAGGCCTTGGCTTTACAGACAACCTCTGTGACCAAGCTCAGGAAGAACAACTTTGCTTTCTGTCTGTATGGTGTCAAGTTACTAACCAGGTTGGCTGAATTTCCCTTTTCAATCAGTTTTCCCCAGAAAAGCAAGCAATAAAGAGTTAAACACACCATCACACAAGGCCAGGAGGTAGGTTTTGTGTGTGTGTGTGTGTGTGTGTGCGTGTGTGTGTGTGTGTGTGTGTGTGTGTGTTTTCTTTAGGTCAACTTTGAGTGAAGGGAGATCACCTGGCAAAAAGAAACTCCTAAGGCCACCTCTGCGCAGCCTGCGGAGCAGCGGCTCACCTGTGGAAGTGGTGCCCGAGGTGCCCATTGGCTGACTGTTCATGTGTGTCTGCATATGTGGGGGGGTATAGGTATCATAACTCCGCCCATTCACCGAAGGGCTGGTAGGCAGCATGCAGGAGTACGAGGACGTCTGGCTGGGGACTGGGGGCTGAGAGGAGAAAGGCAAACCTGTGGTTACAGAGAAACACATCACACAGCCACATCCCCAAGCTCCCTCCTCCCCAGAAACTCTGCCAACAGCCCTGACCATTAAAGACGTCCTCATGTAAAGTACTGGAAAATTCCATGTGGAAACTCTTAAGATCAGGCCTCCAACTAGTCCTTCCATTGTCCACTGCTCAAGTAAAATTGCCTACACACCAAACTTCTGAAAGTACTACAACCCAGCTGGCATGGCTCAGTGGTTGAGTGTCAGCCTATGAACCAGAAGGTCATAGTTCAATTCCAGGTAGGGGCATATGCCCAGGTTGCAGGCTGGATCCCCATTATGGGGCATGCAGGAAGCAGCCGATCAATGATTCTCTCTCATCATTGATGTTTCTGCCTCTCTCTCCCTCTCCCTTCATCTCTGAGATCAATAACAATATTTTTAAATAAATAAGTGTACTACAAATTTAGACAACTGCCCAGGTAGGACTTTTGTCCATTTTTATCTTGGATCTCTGCTGACATCTTTAGAGAAGCTATGGCATGAAGACTTTCATTAAAACACATCCTTTCTTCTGTAAATCCAATCTATTTGAGAACCCAGTGACCCCCAAATCCCATATCTCAAGCTTTGGGGCAGAGAGCAGTGGAAGGAGCTCTCTATAAAGTTGGGTTTGGGGACTTTGGGAGCCTTTCATGGTTGGACTCATGGGATTAAAGATTCTTTGAAGAGGCAGATCAGTAATGATCTCATATGAAAGTGGTCAGAAGTATCAGTAAATACCTAGCCCCATCCTAAGAATTAGCTGAAACTTCCTTATAGACCCACAAACCCAGACTGGGTTTTGTCCTTAAAATTGTGTTGCTACCCTCTAAATGTGTACAACGGTGATATAGAAGAGATGAGCCTTTCTCCTAACTAAATGAGAAATACACAGAACTGGGGCAAAACTCCTCATGAACTCTCACCGACAGAAAACTTGGGATGAATTAATAGAAGCATGACGTCAGAAACAAGGGAGAAGATGATAGTACTACTCTACTCTGCGAACTATAGAAATGTTTAACATCCCAACATCCACAGTCTCAGAGAGCATGACACATTAAAGAAGATTCAGAGGAGGACACCCAATCTTTTTGTAAAATGGTGGAAGATTTTGGTCAACATGATGAAGTGATGGACAGACAGACTAGCTCCCCCCATACACCAGCAACCCCTGCCCCTGCTCCAAAATCCAAAGAGTAGTTTTCTCTGAACAGAATCATCAATATTTTTATTTTCTTTAGGCTTTATGAATGCATGTATATTTTGGGTTGTATAGGTTGTGTAATTTTTTTAAAGTCAGTGAAATCAATTGACCCATGCCAGTTTATATGTGGAAACAACCCTAATAGAATAGCAGCATCTGCTTGTTTCTATCATTTTCCCATGTACACATTTGGTTATCTTCACAGAAACCTAGATGTTGCTATAATTTACAAAACTGAGCAAGCTACTCGGTGGCCTTACTAATGTCAGAGGATGACTGCTAACAGCAGGTTCAAAGAGGCAAGCAGGCCTTGAGGGCCCTGCCAGAATTTCAGCTTGCATTTGTTTCTAATTCCCAAAATCACTTCCTCCAGGCAACCAGACTTCTGGAAAATTCCAAGGCAGTTGTAGTAACACCAGCTAATGGGCTGTTAATCCCTTAATTTACAATAATTGCACTATGGCCAATAATATCCAGGTGCAATAAAAATAAACATGGAAATAATTCTTCTGAAGTTGCTTATCTAGCTGTTCCTGTATTAGTCTGAAGACTGTGAAACATTTATTTTGCTGTTATTTGGATTAGAAACCCAGCAAAAGATATTCAGTGGAGAATAAACACTCTGTAACCACAGAACTGTTTCCAGAAGGGGCTCATGCTGGTCAATCTCACACCATTGGCATCTGTAATTGTTGCACAGACAGGAGTCCTAGGAAAGTCACTGCAGAAGGCCCACCAGAAGACCAGTTTTTCCCCCATCCAGAATCCAATCAGCTGCAAAGTTCTAGTACATCCCACCTGCACTGTACAATTCCATCATAAAGGCTTAACCTGCTACAGCAGTGATGGCGAACCTTTTGAGCTCGGCGTGTCAGCATTTTGAAAAACCCTAACTTAACTCTGGTGCCGTGTCACATATAGAAATTTTTTGATATTTGCAACCATAGTAAAACAAAGATGTATATTTTTGATATTTATTTTATATATTTAAATGCCATTTAACAAAGAAAAATCAACCAAAAAAATGAGTTCGCGTGTCACCTCTGACACGCGTGTCATAGGTTTGCCATCACTGTGCTACAGGGTTTAGCATGTGTAGGGGCTGATAAATATTTGGGACAGAATTGAGAGTAGGTAGGGACAGGTTGTTATACCAAGTAAATAGCATCAACCCAGGCAGCTCGGAGTGCCACAAACTCATCACATAATTCTTGGCAAAGACACACTAAATTTCTAGCCAATACCTTCTATGTCTTTTCTTTATTGTAAGATGTACAAAGAAAACTACTTGTTTCTCTATATTAAGCATATACCACTATGCAAATATGAATCCCATTTCTGACCCATTTTATCTTCCTCACTAGTTTATCACATATAATGCCCAAAATGCATACACAGATTATATATCCTATATAATAAAACCCTAATATGCAAATCAACCGGACAATGGAACAACTGGTTGCTATGACACACACTGACCACCAGGGGGCAGACGCTCAATGTAGAAGCTGCCCTCTGGTGGTCAGTGAGCGCCCACAGTGGGAGCGCGGCTCATGGCTGGTGAGCGCCGCAGCAGTGGTGGGAGCCTCTCCTGCCTCCGTGGCAGGCGGCCATCCCCCGATGTGGGGAGCGGGCCTAAGCCAGCAGTCGGACATCCCCCAAGGGGTCCTGGACTGCGAGAGGGCGCAGGCCGGGCTGAAGGACACCACACACACACACACACACACACACACACACACACACACACACATACAGTGCACGAATGTCATGCACCGGGCCTCTAGTCTATTATATGAACACATTAATATAAACCCCAATTTTATTTCTAACCTCTTACTATCTGATAATGTGCCAGCATTATTTCCATTTTCCAGGACAAGTTTCACTAACATCCAAAACATGCCTCCTTCCCACCCACCATTATCAAGTTAACATTCTCTGTGAGCAATAAGCAGATAAACTTGACTGAACATCGGGTTTTTATATTTTTAAGGGCATGAATCAATCAATCAACTAAAAACTGGGTTGACTGTTTTCATCTCAGACTAGACTGGGCAAGCCAATTACTGCAGTGAGAAAGGCTCCCAAGGGGGCGTACAAGGCCAATGAAGTCTGCAGGCCCTGACCCACTCCCCACCTCCGCTAAGCAGGCAGCTACAGGCCTCACTTACTTGCATAGGCAGGTTATTGGCCATGGTGAAGCTGGGCATGGGTGGCAGAGCGCTATACGTATTGGTGAGGGCTGTGTCTGTTCGGCCCAACATGGAGCCCGATGTGAAGGAGGAAACTGCAGGGAAAGAGACACAACCAACAGTCATGTTGAGAGTCAGAGCCCAGGGCAAGGGGGTTTAAACAGATTTCTTAGTAGTATTAACACTTCACATTACCAGGCGTGGTGGGTTGTGGGATTGGTTGGTAGACACTGGTGCTGAAACTACTGCTGATAGGAATATGACTAGGTGTGTTGCTGGCCTGTCTTCTCTGATTCCTCAGTTTTTCTTCTCTTCTCCATTTGGCCCTTCGATTAGAAAACCATACCTGAAATCAGACAGAACAGGTTAGCCCTGCACCCACCTCCGGCATTTCCGCTGTGCCCCTCCCCCCAATGGTGGCAAAGTATTCAGCACACTGAATCTGTTACTATTTATATAAGTGAATGAAGTTCCTTAGAAGCACTTTTGTCTCTAGAAAAGGCAAAAGGTTTGAATCACAAAGCATGAAACCACAGGGAAGCTGGGTACCTGTATTCTTGCTTCAGGTAGATCTATTTTGGCTGCTAGTCTTTCTCTGGCAAACACATCTGGATAATGGGTCCTCTCAAACTCTGAAAGAGTAAGTTTTCTTTGTTGTGCCAGAAACATGTCAACCACATCCTGAATCCAACTGGCTCCCACTTCCAACCAATTCCTTTTAAAATGCTACTACTGTTGGAGGAACTATCCCACCAGAACCAAGTTACATTTTCTTTGGAATAACATTCATTCAAGGACTCTTCTGTGGGCTGAATTAGCCAAATCATCTTTTTTTTCAGTATGAGAAGTCAGACTTTTACTCTTTGAATTACTGGTACATGAAAAGAAGGAAGAAACACACACACACACACACACACACACACACACACACTGAAAAGATGCCCAGAAAAAAAAAAAAGAGAGAGAGACAAAAAGGAAAAGGGAATCTTTTCAGTCCTCTATGCAAAGGGCCCTGGCTAAATTTAGCTCTTTGTACTGAAGATGTGACATTTACTTTGATTTACTGCTTCTCTACTTTGAAAAACTCCATCACCTTTCTCCAGGGCCTCAATTTGCTCTTGGGTAAAGGATGTTCTATTTCTTTGTAGCTTCCGCTTCAGCTGAAGTCGCATTTGGGCTTCATCTGAATCTTCTCCATTGGAACTGATGGAGTTGGTATTCTCTCCCCCTCCTTCCTGTTGCTGGCAGCCATCTGGAACAAAAAGAATAGGACAGTATGAGAAATTTGGAATAACTCGGGGCTCCAAAGAGGGTCTGGTATAGCCACAAACTCCAAGAGCTGTATATTTAGACAGTCTTATGAAAACATTCCCAAGGGATGTTTCTTTTTAATAAAAGGCGTTTTGGACATACAATACCTGACCTTTTTTTTCTTTCTGTTTTTATCAAGATGAACCCGACCATACAATATAGATACTTAAAGAGTAACATTTCTTCGAATGACAAAATAAGTGCTAAAGTTTCAGATTAAAATTATCTTTCATAACTAAACTTGACTCCCCAAATGCCTTACCCAGTTACCTTTCCCTACAGAATTTACTTACCTATGGCTGTGTTGGGAAAATAGAAGAGTGATGCTCAAGATTTCAGCTGATCTATAATCAGTAATTCCTATCTAATCAATTAGATGTTGATAGGTTTGTAGAAAATGCTATTAAGAAACCAAACCAAGCTTGTAATCTTTTTAAAAAAATATTTATCTAGTTTTTATTTTAATTCTGCACAGTCAATTTCATTTTAAAGGTTGTGAATTTAGAAGTACTCGCATTGTTCTGCAGTTTTATTCAACTATTGTATGAGTGCGCTTTGCCTTGACACCTATTACAAGCACAGCTGTAATTATATCATCACCAAGAACAGGCTATAATTGCTGAAAATCGAATTTTATATTTAGATAAAAGGACTGTCCATTCTTTGTAATGTGTTGCACCAGAGAAAAGTAAGATTTCTTTTAAATTTTTAACGTGTAATTTTAAAAAAAGAAACAGAGAGTTCACTAACTAGCTAAGTATTCTAGGCTGCAGCTGAGTCCTTGGCATATCATTTAAGTGGTACATTTTTAATTAGGGCATTTCCACCACTTTTAATGTAATTTCTATCATTAAACAGGGGAAAGTTTTATTGTTTTCCCTTGTTGCTTGGAGGGCAAGATGTGCACTTGAGCTAGCTGTCTCTTGTCTTGCGCCTTGCCCAGGAGGCCACAGCCCGTCTGTAGGGAAGCACTCATCCCTGACGGGGCCTGCAAGCTGGGTCCTGGGTCTTGGGTCCTGAGGCCCCCAAGGGATACCAACAGGGGCTGACCTAGAAACTTGGCCAGTGGGGGGAGGGGCTTCTAGGGGGCCCTGGTGGGAATCGACTTGGCCAGGAATATCATTTATAATCAGGAGACAATAGGCATCGCCTTCAAAGAGTTCAGGGAATTGTGACAGGATCTAGTGGGATCTTTTCAGGAACTTTGAAATGTTTTAAAACCCCAACTTTCTCCCCCATTTAAACAGGCGGATTCATCGGCACTGGCCACCATATGGGCCCTTGGAGATCTATTGAGATGACCACCAACACTTGAATAGCGAGGGGCTGCTTTTCAGCGCCGCACAATGCCCTGCGAGTAAGGGAAACTATTAAACTCCTGGGGCAGGAGCGCTGGCAAACTTTCGTGGGCAGAATTTTGAGGCCACAATGAGCGCGGACAACAAAAGGATTCTCTTGAGGCGTGCAGCGGGCCACATTGTGTTACAAGAAGCCCAGTCAACAGACTTTTCAGTGAAGTGTGTTAACCCCTCTGCTCCGCTATCATTAATCACTGTCCGGAGAGCGGGCGCCTCAATGCTATTTAGGGGCTTGGCTGGGGGGGGGTGGAAGGTAGATGGGGGGGCCAGCGCATGGGGTAGGGGAGGCAGGGAGGGTGGATGGGGACTAGTGGGCGTAGGGGGGGGGGAGCCGACAGTCAGGGATGATAGAGACCAGGGTTGGGGAATAGGGGTGGGAGCAGGGAGGGAAGATGGGGCTGGATTGGTGGGGGAGAGGGAAGAGGGGAGGGAGATGGAGGAAGAAAGGTGTAAGAAAGACAGAAAAGAGTGCTCAGAGGAAAAAGATAAGAAGGTGGAAGAAGAAGAGGAGAGAAAGAGGAAAAGGAAGATAAGGGGGGAAGACAATATTAGTCAATAGGTCTAGGCACTACTTAGGGTGGTCTTGTGCTGTCTCAGGAAGGCGGGAGTGGGGAGGGCTACTTAGCACAGGGGGAGACTCACCCACGCCAGCACGTCTTCCCTAATTTACTGCCCCAGGTTTCCGAGGGACTTAGCAAAGTGGGTTTTGTTTTGTTTTGTTTTTCTCAGGGAAAGAAATGAAGAGGTGCCCTTACTTGGGGGTTCAGTGAATGAGGAGGACTTTAGCAAGAGTCCTTTTGAGCCAACTAGACAGGCTCCTAGGGTATTGCTTTAGGAAAACACAAACAAAAACTGATCATCCGACGACGTTTAGGGACAGGGCCCTGAGGAGACCACAATCCCATCTCGCAGGGGTGATCAGTCATGCCTTCCAGGAGGCCCCATCCCAGTCCTTTTTCTGGCACATTCGATCTTGCCAATTAAACAAAGCTGCCTGGTCCCTCTCTGAAGACCCTCACAGATAGCATTCTCTGCTCTCCTCTGCTTCTCTGACATCTTCCTAATTTTAAAACATGGACATTTGCCCATGCTTTCCTTCTCCTTCCCTCTCCCCCTCCACCTCCCCACACACTCACACAATCTCGCACAAACGCAGGCACAGAACTGACTTGAGAACTGACATTTAAGGAGAGGAAAGTCAACGGAGATGAGGAGAGCTGGATTTTAAACTTCTTTGGGGGAGAGTGGACTTAGAAGCGGGTCAGGAGAAACCCGTGGCTGTGGCATCCCTCCGTGACTCCTCGGAGCGGAGCGAGCCTGCACCCCTGGAAGCATTTTTTAATTATTATTATTACTTGCATAGTAGCAACTGTTCTAGTCAGGCGGTGCCAGAGCGGTCACTCTTAGATTGCTCCCTCCCCCCCCCCTTTATTTTTCTTTAGTGGATTTACCTTCCTCTCTTAAAGCTTTTCACAAAATAAAACTAGAAGTTGGGTCTCAAATTCCCCATATGATAAACCTAAGTGGCAAACAATTAAGATATCTTCTTTAAAAGGCGCCCCCTCCGAGCGCAGGGAAGGCGCCTTCAATGGGCTGGGCGCCGTCCACCTTCCAGCCTAATCCGTGAGAAGGCCAGTGAAAGCGCCTCCCATTATCCCAGCCCCGGGACCATCTGACGCGGGGGATAGGATTTGTTTTCTGGAAGGAGAGGAGAGGTGGGGGGAAGGACGCTGGGAAATAAAATCACTCCTTAGTTTCTTAGTGTCTTAATCAGTGAGGCGGAAAACAAGCAAGAAAAGATAGCAACCCGGTTGCGGCACCTTTTCAGCTCGGGAGCCCGGATCAAAACATTGTAGCATCTGTTGAAAAAGAGACTGACTAAATCCTATAGAGGGCCTGGGTATTGGGGGTGGGGGGGGAGGAGATAAGAAAAAGTGTCTCGGGGATCCCTAAAACCCAAATCGCTGGAGAATTGGGGGCCGGATAGAGTTGTCTCTTGTCAGCCCACGTCGTCACGATTTTATCCACTGCCGCGTGGCGTTGATCAGATGGAAACCATATTTGTCTCCCTCTGAGACTTAACCTCGCCTTATGCTTCCGGAGAAAAGGGCTCTTTAAAAGCCCCCAAACGGTTTCCTGGCCCAGGGAAGGGGGCCAGTGCGGGAGGGCATCCTTCTTAATGCCAAAAAGTCTGAAGATCCCCCAGGCGTCAGCCCAAGCTCTCCGCCAGCGCCCCGCGGCCCCCACGCGCGGGACTCCCACGCTGGGGGTGCGAGCTGCGTGCTCCCCGTGCAGCCGGAGCTGCGGTCCGAGCCCGGATCCGGGGCACGGAAATGGGTTTTGTGCGGGAGCAGAAGGGGGACTGGCAGTGGTTCGCGGAATTCTCTAGCCACTCACTGCTCAAAGTTCAAAGTGCCTGAAGGAGCGCCACCTCCCGCCCCAATCACCACCGCCAGGGCCCTGTGGTTAGGCAATCGCTTCCCGCCCTCGCGCTCCCCGAGACAAAAAGCTGCCGTATGCAGTGCCGCCTCTAAGGGAAGCGGTGGGGCTAGCAAAGCTGCAGCCCTCGGCTCCCGTCTGGGCTCCAGGAAGCAGGAGGGGGTGTCCCTGCTGTAGGCCCCAAGCTACGGGAGCCCTGGAGCCGAGGGGCCAGCGCGGAGCCTTGGGGATCAGCTTTCCCAGGCTCAGCCACTGCGCCCTGCACCCTACCCAAGGCTTCTGGGACCCAGGCGGCTAGAGGCCTGGGATTGCCGGGAAGCTGGCGGGCAGGCGCTATGGAGTGTGAAGTGCGCTTTCACTTGAATGTGTCCACTGTGTGCACGTGGGGTTCCTAGTTCCAAAGGTCAAGTGAGGGTGTGGTGGTCCCCACTTAACCATGTCAGTCCCTCGTCCTCAGCAGAGGCCAGGGTGGGCCTGGGCCTGCAGCCCGGTTTGGAGGCAAATCCTCAGGTGTGCCTGCTGAGCTCCGGGAGGCTGCGGGTTGGGGCGATCCGGGGATCCCGCCGGCCGGCGGGTTGCTCAGCTCAGCGCATCGGGAAGCTTCGGCCGGCCGCGCGCCGCGCTGGGAACCCGGAGCGAGCGCTTTGCTCCCTATCTTCCCAGTGTCCGTCCTATATTGTTTCCTGCTCTTAAAACTGACATGTCTAATTGGCAATTGGTGCCGAATCGTGTCCAGAGGTCTCTTGTGGAACATTTCTACAGCTGTCTCCTTCAACTAGACGCTTATTCATGTCGCCTTAATGAGAAACAAAACGTTCTCTAATGAGCAATTACAGAGCGACAGGATTGTTCCCATAACAAATTCTTGGGAGTGACAGAAGCATCCTTTGTACCAGTTATTTCGCATACTGTTACCGATTTTCCCTTCTCTAGTCCGGCTCCGTGGAGGCGCGGGGCACCCAGAGCCGTCTTTAGAGCGCACGGTGGCGCGGGCAGTCCCGTCAGCGTCCTGCGCCCAGAAGCCCCCAGGCTTCGTCGTGCTCCGGGGAGTGAGACGCCACGTCCCATTATCTCGCATATTATCTCCTTGTCACCAGGACAACAAATACCGATTAATCTTCCCAGTAAACTGTTTCCTATTCTTGACCAAGCTACCTCTGTGTGTGGAGGGAAGGAGAGAGCCAACGGGCCTCCCCCCATCCCTATCTGCTCCTCTTCCTTCATCCCTTCTCACACATCCTGGAATGATCCAGATCCCATCTCTTCTCCCAGACCCGGGCACCCCAAGTCTGGCTCACACTATTGTCACTCCACCCTTCTAAGCAGTCGCCACCCACAGAGAGTGAGAACTGGGGGCCCAGAAGGGTTGGAGAGAGTGTGGGGGTGTTTTAGTTGGGAGACCACCACTTCCAGTGCCCCATTCTCCACTCGACCATGCATCTCTCTGCTCACCCTCTCTCATTTGAACCCTACTCATAGTCACATAATTTGTCAATTATGGCAGAAAGCAAAACCGATACAATTATGTTTTACCTCACAGTCTCGCAAGTGTTAACCTGTCTCACTTCTACAGCAAAGGGACTTTCTATGCATTTGAATGGCAAATTTGAATAAGGTACCACGAAGCTCTTACACACACGCACATCCTCCTGCCCATAACACACATGTACACACACCAGCCACATGCATACTACTCCTGACATAGCCCTTCCATCCCCAGGCCAACCAGAGAGCTCAATAAGCACCACCTACATACAGTGCAAGCCAATGTGTCCCAAGCCTTTGAAGAGTCACCCCATTGCATCCTCTAAGCACAGAGGCCGGAGAGGGAAAGGTTGGGGAGAAGACTATGGGCTGCGTATACAGAGAGTTTAGGTGGTTGCTCGGGTTTTTACCTTGGGTAGGTTGCCCTGGCACGGAAGTCCCCGGATACCAACCGGGGCGGGTGCCCCAGCTTCCGGTCTGCCCATTCAACATCCTTAGTTTATCATACATGCCGTCTGCGCCCATCTGTTGCTTTTCGCTAGCCAGGTTGCGAAGAACTCTGTTTATTGATGACACCTGCAAATCAAACCAAAATCAAACCAAATGGCAGTGTCTCCTAAAAACAAGGCCGCTCTGTCTTAAATCCCCATCTCAACACACCCACCCCCTTAAAGAGCAACCCTTAACACATTAAAAACAACAACAACAACAACAACTCCCAACCATCATGGGACAGTGTAGGTTGATTTGCAGGGACATGATGGACAGAATGACAGCCATCACTTTGGGCATGGAAACTAAGTTGGGTCAGAACTGGTGGATGAGGAGGTCTCTGGTGACCTATCACATGGCTGCCTTACTTTGTTAAAGATTTCCAAAAATTTTTAGACTTATTTAGAGCTTTGTTGCACTTAGGTTTATATTAGTGCAGAAATGGATGTTTGACGCCTGAAGGAATGTTCAGGCAGGCGGATTGGGAGAAAGTTAGAATCTGGTTTTCATTTTCATTTTCCTTCTTGATTCAAGTGCCTCCTCCCTCTACTATGCAGCATGCAAATGAGATGACCAACTTCCCACACTTGACTCCCATTTTCCAAGAAAGTCAAGAAAAGGTCGGGATGCTCCTCTCAACAGCCCCAGGTACAGAGAGCAGGGAGGTAGAGCAGAGAGGAGATAAGAGACAGACACTGGTGGGGCGGAGAGCAGAAGGAGGTGAAGAAGATACGGTAAAGAGGAAAGAGAATGGAGCTTAGGGCAGGGAGGGGGGTGTTCTCAGTGAACTTACACTTGGTATATTATCGTTGGTACAGACCCCCTCCGACAGTAATCTGTCTCGGATTTCCCAAGCAAAGATGGACGGACACTCCCGCTTATACTGGGCTATTTTGCTTACAACTTCTGGAGTCGCTACTCTCGGTTTACTACCACCGATTGCCCTGGGTCTGATGGAGCCAGTCTCGTAATACCTGCCCAGAATTTTACTCACACATCCGTTGGACACCTGCATAGGGGAAGTGGACAGAAAACCACATTATTAATAATTTCAAGACAAAAATAAAATTGTTTAAGTATGCATTAAACAATGACAAGCTTACGTTTTGATTGTCCAGCACTTGGACTTTTGCATCTGCATGGGTCTATAACACAAAAATATACCTTCAATGGTACGAGAACTTACTGTAGAGCGCTTTTTTTCTTAAAATTACATTTGTAGCCCTGAAAACTACAAATATGATGATACTTTTAAACAGTTTGAACTAAAAAAAAACTAATTTAAATTTTTAAAAAACTGTTTTCTTCAACACTGCCAGAAGATGCATCAAAACGAAGTCAGATTTGTGTGTGTGTGTGTGTGTGCTGACCTTGTTTAAAGTGGTGTTATGTTTTAATGAGCAAAGGGGGGAAAGTAAACTGAATTTAAACTTATTTTTCCTTTAAAAATATACCCAATTGAGTACATGTGAGTTATGGAGGGAGGTAAATAGCACCTGTCTTTTAAAATAAATATGTATAGATATTCTTCCTTAGTTTATCATATGCAAACCAGTATCTCAAAATCTGAGGTAAGCATGGGATGAGAGAGAAGGAAATGAAATGATGCCGGTTTTGTAAAACTCAGCTTATTCTAGTACATAAACTATAGTACATTTAAAAACATAAATGTTTTTTACCAAGTGAAAAGAGAAAGGTTTTTTTCTTTTAATTCACACACTCTTCTTTTTTCTTTTTAGATGAGTTATGTGACTGACCCAGGTTGAAAGAGATGGGGAAGGATGGTGGAAGGAGAGGGGAAAGCGGGAAGACAGGGGAGTGGCGTAGGGACTGGGGTGGGGGGGTGAGGGAGGGGGGTCCATAATTAGCAGCATTTACAGTAAGAAGTGAAGAGAGGGCCTTGCAAGTGGAGGGCCGCAGGGGCGGCGGGTGGGGCACGGGGCACGCCAGGAGGATCACCTGCAGAATTCGGGAAATGTCGCACGGCCGGGCCCCGCTGTGCGCTAGCTCTACGATCTTCTGCCGGGTGGAGTCTGGCAGTGGCCGCCCGTTGACAAAGACACCACCGAGCTGATTCACTCCGCTGTGACCTAAGGAAAGGCAGAGGAGAAGAGAGGAAAAGAGGGGAGAGCAGAGGAGAAGAGAGGAGAGAGGAGAGAAGAGAGGAGGAAGAGTGAAGAGGAAGAGGAGGAGGAGAAAACAACCAAATGCATCCTCAGCTCCCTGCCAACTCCTGCCAACCTTGGTGATCAGGCCCCTGCAATCGATCAAAAATGACAACAGGACCATGCAGCCATGCAGGGCATCGGGCAGCCCGGCCCCAAACACAGCCGTACTCTCGCCCACCGGCCTGCAGAAGCACCAGACAGGCAGACACCTGCCAAGGAGCAAGAACACACTCACCTCACTCTGGCACCACCCCAGCAGTGTCCCCAGACCATGTCCCTCTTCATAAACACCCCAACCAACCTCTGAACCCACGAGATGCAAACAATCAGCTCTAAAAATATCTTCCCAAAGATCCCTTCTGAGTTGTGGCAAACGGTGGTTCCACAGAACCCACACGGAACCTCCAAGCTCTCCGCATTGTTGGAACTGTAAGAGCAAATCCCACAGCCTTACAGCGCGTCCACGGAGGCTCGAGTCCAGAAATGTTTGCTGTCACACTCCAAACTCTGGCGAAGGCACCGCACAAACGCCCGGGTTAAAAAATACCACATAGATGGGAGAAGAGAAGGGGAAGGAGAAGAGAAGAACCAGAACAGCAGATCTGTGGCTAGTGAACCTAACCTGGGTTTCGGCGCCTCTACCGCAGGCATGAGGGTCAGAGCGCCAGATCTGCTCCAACCACAAAGTAGCCGGGCTGCGGCAGCGGAGCCAGAGCTGGGCGTCTGCTCACAGTGGCCACCGCTCGATTTACTTCCGCTGCTGTTCTCAGCTCTCCCCACAGCCAAGGACAGATATTAGCAAAAATCAAAAAGCGAAAGGAAAAGGAAGAGACCACACCACAGTGCCCCCCTCCCACATCTGTCCTTTATCTTGTTATCTCACAGCCTCCTCACCCATTGTCTAATCTTAGAGAACAGGGATAGGAAGTTAGTACTTCTCTGTAGCCCCCTCCCTAGAAACCACAGGCGCACAAATAAAGCCAATGGACAATTTCCACTTCCGTACAAATCTCCAACCTGCAGCCCCGACTCTGGAGAGCAGCCCTTCCAGGAGATGTGGCTCCCTGCTCAGCTCTCCTCTCTTCTCCTCTCCTCTCTTCTCCTTGGAGTCTCTGATAAATTGACTCCAGGAGCCTGAGCTTCTTAGCAATAAATAAGCTCCAAATATAGAAGAGGGGGGAAAATATGATGAGCCTCTCTGACATTTGTCTTTAAAATAAAACTAGCTGCACGTCAAGTTTGAGCTTAATTTCTGGAAATAGGCGGAAGTCGCTCCGGATCATGCATGGAAGGCTAATTGAAAAGATCAGTCGGGGCGCTTGTGGCAGCCTTGTCACTTTGTGACAGTGCTCCGCTCCGGGAAATTGCATCGTCACGACAAACGGGACCATGATAAAACGACCCTTTCCGTCCCTATTTGTAGATCACTCAGACGAGATGGAACTGCACTCGTTTCCCCTTCGAGGGGAGCCGCGTGTTCAGGGTAGCAAAGGCTTGGGGCGGAGGGGGGCCCTCACGGAGAGGGGGGCCGGAGCCCAAGCTCGATGAGAAGTGACAGGCGTTTGGGGGATCTGGGCTCTGTCTGGACGCAGCATGAGTGGAGACGTCTCGGGGACATCACTTTTCCAACAGAGCGAGGCCTAGTCCGTGCTTCCGGTCTCTCCCAAGTATCCTTCCTTTGCTTGGCAGGACCCAGCTACCCTCTAACTACAGGGCTTCCCCTTTGGACAAAGGAAACCTTCCCAGAAAGAGAAGTGCTGTCCTAGAGAGACCAAGAAAGGCTTCCCAAACTTCACGCATAGCCAGGGCGAATCCCAACCTCTGAATGCCAAGGCACATGAGGTCGCCTAATCCTAGACCTTCCTCCTCCCCGCCCCCCCCATTGCATAATAATAATAATAATAATAATAATAATAATAACGTCCCCGACACCTCCGCAGGGACCTAGGGCTGGTGCTCGCCCAGGACACACCAGGGCCAGGTCGCCTCTGCCAGCATCGAAATGGCAGCGAGGAAGCGCGGCTAAGTTCCCCTTCAGAGGTTAAGCCTCAATCATTGTGTCCCTTCCCTAGGGACGGCGGGCGCTCTTGCCCAGTAGCGATGATTATGCGCCTAGAATTCGACCACGAAGCATCTAATAGGAAAACATATGGTGTCAATTTGGATGCTCTGCGCCTTGCGCACACCCGGGAGCGAGCGGCACAAAGCCCCGCAGGCCTGCCTGCGACCCCGCGCCCCTCGGGGCCCACCAGCCAGGCCGCGGCGGCGAGCGCTCAGCGCTGTGCGCCCCAGCCCGGCCGCCCAGAGCGCTGGGGAGACTGAGCTGCGGGAGGAGAACCCAGCTGCCCGGAGGGGTGGGCAGAAGCCTTCGCCTGGCCAAGAAGGGTGCCTCCTGGGCCAGCCCCGGGGCCTGCCAGGTTCTGCATAACTGAACCCCCTTTAAAACTCGCCACCTTTGCGTCTGCTCTCGAGCTTCCGCCCACCGGCCGCGGAGGCACCGAGAGGCAGCTAGCGCTCCCAGGACAGAGGCATCTGGCTCTAGGGACCCTCCTACGTCTGGTCTGCAGTTCGGCAAGGGAAGGTTGCTAGAAGACTTGGGCCTGTCTGCACTCCTACAGCTGGGCCCTAAAGAACCGCGTCCAAACTCCGCACCTCAACCCGGACCTAGGCTTCACTGGGCCTCCAGGCTCCCAGGTCGGGACTCCAGACTAGCCCTGCTACGTACCAACACGCTTGGACTGGGACCTGGGGGCCTGGGCAGAGGGAGCATGGGAAACTCAAGAGCCGGGAATCAGAGGCACTATGGGCTCGAAACAACCAGCGCCCACACAGCTGCAGCAGGGCTTCTCCAACTCCTGGGCTGGAGCCCGACTCTCTTCCCAGACCCCAGAGCCCGGTAACAGCCCCACTGGTGGAGTTTACCACCTTCACCTCACCCGCAGGACTGGGTGTCTTGCCCTGCGGGGTGGAGAGGGAAGGAGCTGCCCTGGGAGCGACTGGGGGAGGGGAGCCCCCACACCCCGCCCTGATGGTGGAGACCTCCGTCCTGACTAAGCCGAAAGGGGCCTCCTTCTCCTCAAGCAACCAGGAGAAGCCTCCGCCCCTCTCTGCTCAGCCCAGCCCCTCTCTCTGGGGTCAGAGCCCGGGCAGGGGAGGGGAGGGAGGTGTGAGTTACAAGATTTGGGGGGATGGGGTTTCTCTACCTCAACTTCACAAACTCGAGCAGGCTGTTCTGAAGCGCCCAGCTCCTGTTTTTCCAGGAGCTAGAACAGCAGAGCAAACGCCCTCCCCTCTCAGGTTGCCAGGCGCAGAGGGGGGCACAGTTGCCTTAGTTCCCTGGGGTTTTTCCTTGCTACCATGGTGGCCTGGTCAGAGCTGACGCCCTCCCCTGACCCACTGGTCTTCAAATCCCCAGCCCCACATGAGAAAGACTAGAGGCACTTACTGTTCTGCATGCTGGCGCTGGCTGTGGGGCGCGGGATCCCACGGGGCTCGAATATGGGATTCTGTTAGCAAGAACATAGGCATTAATCCTGGGCCGGGTAGGCCTACCTCTGGATAGAGGATGACCTGGAGCCAGGACAGGAGACTGCCCGCGTTCTTTAGGGAATAATCCACCCAATTGCTCAGAGCTATCTGAGGGCCATCCAGCTCTACCTTCCAGGCATGAAAAAATCCAGTATTCCCAATCTGTATCTTCCAAATCTCTAAGTATTAAACCCTTTAATCAGAAGAAAGGATGACCCTATTTTGAATTTTTTTCTTCCATCTGAACAACAATGAAGACGCATTCTGAATCTTTAGGGTTTGGGATCCCAAAGCAGCTTTCAAGCCACAGCAGAACTTGCCTGAAATCTGGGATGTCTGTCCACTCTTACAATAAAAGGTCTCACACATCTGCGCACCCCTAGTTAAGGTCTTCCCCCTAAGATAAAACAGAAGGAGAGAAAGGTATGTCAAATTGTGGCTCAAAAGCAAAGGCCCATGGCTCTCTGAGCCATACTCTCAGAAAACAAAACAAAACAAAAATACTCATCTAGGGCTCAAACTGCCATAAAACCCTAAATCTCAAAGCTGCACCCACGTTTTCAGCGGCCTCTCCCGCAGAAGTCTCCATCTTTTAGAAGTGACTGCTCTGGCCTGGCTTGGGAGAACTGGAGAATCTGACCGGTCAGGCCCCATTTTGCAAAAATATCAAGAGCCAGGGAAAGGAAAGGGAAAGAACAAGAGAAACAGTGGAATAGGGGGTAGGGGAGTATACGTGAAGTTTAGAGGTGAGGTGAAGAGGACCTCAGAACTTCAGAGTGCCTGAGAGTGCAGGCTGGGGCTGGTCAGGAGGGCTGCAGAGCCATACTCTCCTTGAGGAATTTTACCACCCCAGCCTCCTAAGGCCCCCAGAACCCAACCCTCTGGTTACCACTTTATCCTTTACTCTCCCCTTCAAAGCTTCCCAGACAGGCCCTTACTCCACCCATCTCCCAGCCTTTCTTGGACTTTGAATGTGGTGAGCCCAACTTTTCCCCCCCAAACCTCACTTATTGTGATTAACTTTTCTTTTGGTGTTTAGATCGTCCCCCCTTTTACTGTACTGTGACACACGCTGTCTACCTCGCCTCACTGCTTTAAAAAGTAGGAACAGGAGGGGGTGAGCGTGGTCGACAAAGCCTACAGACAGTGAACAATGGCTTCTATTCTCCAGCTCTCCCCAAACCCAAAGAGCAAAACGGACTCTCCCTAACCAGCAACACAGCTTCCAACCACACGTACCAACAACCCACCAACTCACAAAGGGAACAGAGGGACACTTCTTGCATTGTCAATCCTGATCTAGTGCTTGTCTCCCCAAGATTCATCCTCCACCACCCCTCCTTACCTTCCCCTAAGAAGGTTTTGCGGGAGGGGAGAGAAAATAGAAAAGTAATTTCTTGTTATAAATATCTGGAGGTAATTGTGTTACTGGTGTGAGTTGTTAGGGGCCGTAAAAAGATACAACGGCACCGTAGGGTGCTCAATTGGGAAGAGAGAATTACAATAAAGAGTCCATTCAAAAGCTTTGGGCAGAAAAAGAAGTAAAATAATTAAATAGTCACAGCATCATTTCTCCCTGTTAAAAAAAAAACAAAACTAAAATACTCTTTCTTTTTCCTGTTTTGCCTATGGTGATTATTAATTTTGCCTGCCTGCAAGCAAGGAATTCCAAGAAGCACATTTTCCCCCTCCAAAGCTATTCATGGTCTAATTTACTACCTAGCTGGGAGGCAGCTTAAATCCATAAAAAATAAACTTAAGTGGAACACTTCTTCCCAGCCTCCAAATTTGGCCTGGTAAATATTGGAGATGGCAGAGGGCTACCTAGTTATGCCTAGCTGCACTGGCTCTCAAGGCCTCCCGCCTCTCAGTCCCCTTGACCACGGTCATGCCCCCACCAGGCAGAAACCCCAACTTGGATCAGAATGTGTGTGCCCCCCCCCCCCACACACACACCCTCAAAGTGGGACTCTGAAAAGGCAAAGCTAGCAGGCGGGAGAGGAGTAGCAGCGGAATACTCCTGAAGGGGGAAAACTTCCTAACTCCTCTCCGTACCACTCTGTACTCAACCACCAGTGAATGCCCCCATCCCAGCAGGTACATTCTTGATGCTATTTTTAAAGAATTCAGTAGCTGATTACAGAGAGGCCTAACCAATTAATTTTCGAAGCATCTGGGAAAGCATTTCAAATTCCGGTTCTACTCCATTCCCACCCCCTCTCAGCTTAGAATCTATCTAATTGCTTAAGTAGTCGCTAAAGTGCAAAAGCAATCCGAGAGGCTGGGCACACCGACACCCGGAAGCAAACACGCCGGGAGAGTTGAGAACCCCCGAGCCACAGCCACAGCCCCCTCCCTCCAAGCTCAGCCTTGGGCTTCCTAAAGCCCTAGACAGATCAGAGACCTGCACCAGGAATCAAGGAGTTTCCAGACATTTGGAAGTCGCCAGGGCCTTGGTCCACTAGGCCACTGGGCCATTGACTCCCTGACACAAGCCTCCGCTTTCAAATACTGATGTTTTAAACTACTTAATTCTAAAATCCAACCCCAAATTCCTTAGCTGGGGTGAAGGGGAGAGCTCACTTTTGTCCCTCCCGGCCCCCAGCCAAAAAGTAATTAGCAATTAAAATGACAAAGTTTTACTCTCTAGGGCCAAATAAGATAACTAATCAAATCGCCTTCAGACGTTTGCAAAGGTCACTGGCTATAAAAAATGTAATGTCAATGGCAACAACTATTATTTCTCCTCGGTAAACTCACCAAGCTTTTAAGCTCTTTACTTTTTATTTCATTTTCTGCTCCCGCCCCTCCTCGACCTTCCCAAGTTCGAGTTAAACATCCAAAATGGCTTAAGGAGCTGTGCAGAGTATGAGAGAAAAAGATCCCACGTTCACGTTGTTTTTAAACTTTGTAGAAATCACTCGAGACTGAAGGGCCAGGTTTTAGCACTCAAAAAAAAAAAAAAAAAAGAAAAAGAAAAAGACAGAGAGAGAGAGAGAGAGAGAGAGAGAGAGAGAGCATTTCCACTTGAAATTCAACTCCATTTTCCCCAATTACACTTGCTAAAATTCGGGCCTATCATGGGACACAGAGACGGAGAAAATCTGCACACGGAAAGAGGCAACAACTTCATGAACTTTGAAAAGACACTTTTCCTCCTGGGGTCTGAGAATCAATCGAAAAGCTCTCAAATTACTCAGACTAATTGGCTGGGAGAGGATGTGATCAGACGAAGGGGAAAGCCAGTGCTTTCATACTGATTTTTTTAAAAGCCTCATAAAGAAAAAAATCAGGGAATTTAGATGTTTTTTAAAAAGCAATCCAATCCACTTTTCCACCTTGGAACTTGTTGAAATGGCAACACCGAGCGCAGCATTGTCAGAGGAAGACAAGGAAAAATACCCACCGAGCGCTGGGGGCTGGAGGACAAGGAAGACCCCAGCTTTCGCAGGGCGAGGGCGAAGGTTGGGGGAAGCGTGGGGAGTAGAGAGTTTTCAAGTTCCGAGCTCTGCGCTCAAGTTGAGGGCGAGAGCCTGAGGGCTTGAAGGAAGCTGACAATCCTGGGCTCGGCTCAGAGCTCCCTCGGAGCGCGCGTTCGGCCGCTTTGGCCTGGTGGCTTCCTTCCCGGCTCCCGCTCACACTCCCTTTCTCTCCGCATCCAGTGCGCCGTTGCCTTGCCGATTGACTCTGCTCCAGCGGACGGCGGGCGCGGTGCCCCTCGGCGCCTGAGTGCCAGCGGACTTGTGTGCCCGGGCCGAACACGGCACAAAGGCGGAGGGCGGGCGAGGAGGCGGCGGAGCGGCGAGCAGGCTTCCTTGGCGCTCCCTCGGTGCGCCCGCTCCCTGCGAGCTCCCTGGGCCTTCGGCTGGACAAAGCAGCCGGCAGCGTTTGGTCCCGGCAGCCGTTCCCGGGCCTGGAGCACCGCAGAGCCTCTTCCTCGTCTCCTGCGAGCCGGGAGCATTTGGAGGTGATGGGGCCGGGAGCCGCGGCTGCTGCTGCGCCTGGTTCTTCTGTGAGCTCAGCCCGCGCTGGTGCTGGCGCTGGGGGTGAGCCGGCCGCCGGCCCGGAGCCCAGCGCCGCTCCCGCTCGCCGGCCGTCGCCCTCCGACGCGGGCTTTTGCTGGAAGTACAAAGTTTGGGCTCCAGCGTGGAAACTTCTCCGACCCAACTCTCCGGGCGTAGCAATGGGGGAGGGGACCGGCGAGACCGGAGGAAGGAACGGGGGGAGGAAGGGGGATACCTGCCTGAATATTGCGATAAAAATAAAGTGAGAAGAAAGAAGCGGACTCACCTTTATGAGGCATCCTCTCCCGTCAAAGCTCCTGTCAAGAGTTTTGTTTGCTTGGGTTTTGGGTTTTTTTGTGGCTGTTATTGCTGCTTAAAGACCACAGCGGTTGGAAATGACGGTGTTTTAAAGGAGTTGCTGGCGAGAGTTTTCTCCACGGATGCTGCTGGTTTGGTGTGTAAGAGCAATTCTCAGATCCCTGGGAAGAAGACAGAGATTGACAATAAAATGGGCTGTCAGCGGCTGGAGAGTGAGAGATAAAGAGTGTGGGTGAGGGAAGTGGCTGCAGCCAGCACACCTATGCTGATTGGTGATGGCTCAAGTGTGTTAATGTGTGTGTGCCGGCGCCCGGCCTCGCCTCCACCGCTCCTCACTGGCCCATTAGCGAAGCCTGACCTCTGTCATCATCCTCCAGCAAAACACTTCCTCCTGCGCCTGAACCAGAGCGGGAAATGAGGCCGAGCCACGGTTCGCTTTTCAAACCCACTAATCACTCCGCAACATGCAAATGCACCGCTCGCTCCCACACAAAATATTGCTTTATGCAAAGCAGCGCCGGGGCCTCGCGCCAGCCGATTGGATGCTCCCTCTCCCCGCCTGGTGCAATTGGTCCGTTTGTTTGAATATGAATACACTTGTTTTCGGCTCCGCCGGTGGGTCGCGGCTCCTCTCCCCGGCGCTGGGCCCCCCGCGTCCGGGCTCGGGAGCTGGTGCTCGCCGACATCGCCAGGCTCCGAGCGGCCTGGGAGCTAGCGCGGCCCGCCCTGTGGCTGCTAACTTGAGGGGTCGAGTGAAGGCCGCTGGGACGGGGGGGTCGCGCCCCCGACCTCCCTAAACTGGGGCTCGGAACTCCCAACTCGTGGGGAGCAAGTTCCCGCAGCTCTACGCAGCCCTTTCTTGCCATCTTCAGGCGCAGCTTGGCCAGCCGCCCCGCCCCCGCCCGCCCGCCCCTTGCTCCCGCCCCTACCAGGTCCTCGCCTGGGCACTGTGACACCGAGCACAGACGTGGCCGCGCCCCAGCCCACCTGGCCGCTGGGAAGAAGAGAAAGAGGGTGTAAGCAGCTCGGGGTTTCGGCAGCAACACTCCAGTGATGGCCGAGGCGAAACCTCGGCGGAGAGGAGGCCGCCAGGCTGGCAACTCGGCGAGGCCGGGCCGCCTTCCCAGTCCAGGCCTCCCGAGCCTGCCCATCACCCCACCCTCGGTCCCCCGGCCCTTTCTTCTGTTCTTTCTCCTTTCGGAAGCCGCCGAGCGCAGCGGAGCGGAGTCACAGCCGGGCTGGAGAGGCCCGAGCAAACACGCCACTTACTTTGTGTACAGAGGGTTCTTGTGAAAAGCCCTGAAGAGTCCTCACCAAACACTCACCAACTTCTCCCACGTGCCATTTGTTGACTAAGTGCGGTTGCTTTTCCGGGCGCCCGAGAGGAGGGGATCCCAGGGGGGGATAGGAGGGGAGGAGGATGTCTGGGGTCTGAGGTGGAGGGAGATGATCAATGCTGGGAGAGACTGCGTGTGCGTGTGTGTGTCCTCGCCAGCGATGTCGGCGTGTCGGTGTGCGCTATCTGAGTGCGGTGCAGGTGTGTCGGCACCACGGTTCCTTCTCTTGGGTCTGCTTAGTCCACGGAGGCGGCTCCCCTTCAACTGTTGCCAGAAAACCCAGGGAGGAAAGTAAGTCAATGGCTTTTCTCTTCTGACCACACACCAGAAGTCCATTTGTTGAATGCTGGACCATTAGGACACACCTCAGTGCACTCCAAAGGCACCCCTTGGCGCCGCAGTTAAGGTGACAGGGGAGAGAGCGGCTGCCCAGTCTTGCGAAGTCTGGAGCTCTCTTGGAGCTTGCAGGCCCTAGCACAGGGAACCGGCGGTTTAGGGGTGGGGAGCACACCCCAGAACCCGGCACAGACTGGAGTTGGAAGAGCAGAGGCAGGAAGGCCAAAACGAAGCCAGCACCGGGGACACTTGACTCCTCTTGACTTATGAAAAGTGTTGAAAGTCAGAGCTCATCCATGCAATCTGTACACTCGGAACTCCGCAGATGGTATGGTAGCCGCCCCTGGGAGCTGCGGCATGAGGACGCTGCAGGCCGCCTTGGGCCGCTGGGCCTAGTGTGGGCCTCCCATTCTCATCCCCAGCCTGAACCCAGTAACCCGCTACTGAGGAGCTTGGGCAGAGCTCGGGGAGAGCGGAGGCCTCCTCAGCCGCGGCCAGGGTTGGGGCAGCACAACCCGTCCACTTCCTCGTCCTGGGAACCGCTCTTCCCGTGGCCCAGGTGCACTCAGCGCCAGGACAAACCCCGGGCCAGAAGCAGGTGGCACGGGCGCTCGGGTCTGCGGTCTCCTGAGCGAGGTTTCGTAGGACCCAGACTTCTCCCGATCCCGGGATCCCGGACGTGGGACAGCGGGCCCAGGTCTCAGACCAACCAGAGTCGGCGTTATTTTTCTCCCCCTTTTTACTTCTCAAACAAGCATTAAAGAAACTTGAATTCAAGTCCACTGGGCATAAGCAAGGGGGGGAGGAGGAGGCCCAGAGGCTGTCGAACTGGAGGCGAATATCATTTTTACAACCTCTCAATTAGGGACCGAGTGGATTAGCACCTTCTTAAGCTTTGCCTCGGAAAGAAGGGACCATAATCTTGTTGCTATTTCCCCCCTGGGCACTGTCTCTTTGAATCGCTCCTTCTCCCACCCTTCAACCCCCACCTCACCTCCGAGAAAAGTTTTAACAACAACAACAAAAATGATAAGAGGCTAGGAGCGGGGAGTGAATGCCACTGACGTCATTGGGTGGGGGTGGGGGCTAGGGGGAGGACTCTTGGAAACCCCTCTGCACAAGCAAGAAACAAAAAGGGACTTAGCTGCTTCCAGTGTGTCAATATTTGGGGGCAGCGGGGGGGGGGGCAGTCAGACCCAAGGGAGACAGAGTTTTTAAAGTTTGAGGGGTGAAGAACGAGATTTCATGTTCTCCCTGGGCTAGTTTCAAAGGGGGTGGGGGTGCTGTTCTGCCTCGTGGGGCGCCTCTCGCTCTCCGCCAAGTACACGTTCTGCGGGCGACGCGGCTGGTTGGGGGGCTGGGGCGGAGAAGCAGCCCGCCAGGGGCAGAGGTGAGAGCAAAACTGAGACAGCTCGCATGTCGCCATTTTAATTGCGGCTTCCTAGGCCCCCTCGCTGCCCTCCAAGCAGGGGGGTAGGGGTGGGGGGATCGCGCCTTGGGTTTCCGTCTCGCCTCTTCCCGCCTCTCTTCAAGTCTCCTCCCCTGCCCGCGGCGCCCGCAGTGGACAGCTCCCCGGCCGGTTCCCGCAGGGGCCGCCGGGGTCATCCCACCCGGTAGGGGAGGGCGGTTTGTGCCGAACGCGCCGCTCACCGGAGAGTGCCCGGAGCCTCTGGCCTGTATTCGTTCGTCAATGTGAGATCGGCGGCAACTCACCCCCCAGCGCTCCCAGGCCTTCGCGGTTGCCCACTCCCCGGGTTTCCGGTCTGGAGGAGGCCTCTGGCTAAGCAAAGACGCGTCTAGCTCTTGGGAGATGTGCTTTTGGCGCTGGGCTTGGGAGCCAGGAGTCTCCCACCCGGCGTGGGTGTTGCAACACCTCTGAACTGCCGCTTTCCACGCCCTAGCAGAGGCGCGCTGGGAAGGGTGAAGACGAGCTTTTCTTTGAAGGAGGAAAGTCTCCGTAAACACCTGCACCACTTTGCAGAGACTCCAAAGGCTCTCTCTTTGCTGGCAAAACGGGTCAAATGAGCACAAAAGGCAAAGGCGCCCTCCCTTGCCGACCGGTTCCAGGTGCCTCCTTCACTCCAGGCCTTTCTCCCTCTCTTTTTTCCCACCAATACGTGGGTTTCCAGTTCACCCCTCAGCCTCCAGAGCCCAGAGTGCCGGGAGGCGGAGAAGAGCCTGGAGCTGGCAGTGCCTCCGGCCTGTGGCCAGGCTTGGCTGGGGAAAGCCTGGGTGCCTTGGCCTGCCCTCGCCTCTGACCAAATGGCAAGTGGGTTCGGTCCTCTTCCATCCACATTAGGCAGAAAGCGGAAAGCGTCTCTCTTTCTCTACATTTCCACCAAATACTTTAAACACACACACACACACACACACACACACACACACACGCTCGCACTGGCCAACTGGGTTTCCCAGCAGACACCCAAGCCTTTGCTTCCCGGATCCTGCATGCCGCTGTCCAGATAGGGGCCCGCTTTAAAACTCCAGATCTCCAATGTGTAGGACATTTGCAAATAGGGTTCTCAGGAAAGTTTGCTTTCCATTTGGTCACCCAGGAAGGTTCCCCATCTCTCCTTTCCCTGTAACTCCCGCCCTCAAGAGGCAAGAGTTCAGCTTTAAAAGAAAAGCAAGCTAAAGCCTCCTCAGCCCCTTCTCCCTAGAGACCCCATCTCCAAACAAACAGAGTCCGAAGTTTTTCCTGGAGAGGCGCAAAGAACACGCGAGCTGGGAACTGGGGAATTTGCTGGGGGATCTGAAGCTGGGGAAGAGGGAGGGAGCAAATGTCAGGGCTGGTTTGCTGGAGTAGCCAGGAACGGAGCTAAGCGCATCCTGGCAGCTCTTAAAGTGACATTGATTGGGACAAGCTGTTCCCCACCCCCCGGAAGAGTTAATATGTCTGTTAATCAAGACACTAAGGGCCCAAGTTTTATTAGCGATTGGAGGACATTGGTGGCAGTGAGGATCAAAAGCCGGGATCCCGGATATTTGTCAGCACGGTGTCACACACACACACACACACACACACACACACACACACACACACAAGTGTTTTCAATTAGAGAACAATTGGGCCATCACTTCCTAACCAGTCTCACAGGTGGTGACTTACAAACCTGGCTAGCAGGGAAAACCGATGGGGAGGATGGGGGGGCGGGTGGCGGGCGCAGCCAGGGGAGAGATTCCGGTGAGGAGCTGCAGACTGGCTCGCTCAGCTCGGCCTGAGTTTAAGAATCAGCAGCCTGGGGCTCTGAAGCCTCAGATTCCCACCCCCCTGCCCCCAGGAGAGAGAACTAAAAATAAAACAACAAATAACACAGAGTATCGGCATCCATCCCTCCCGGCCAGCTCCCCACTGCTCTGGCCGGGCTCTGGCGCCCGGTGGCGTGGGGTCCCCAGAGCGCAGCAGCCGGGAGGGCCGGAAAGTTTGTGCGGCCAGAGGGACTCTCCTTCCGCTGCGCCCGCGCTGCCCCCTTCCGCCCGGGAGGGGCGTTTGGTTCCCTTCGGTTTTCCTTTCAAATTCTAAAATAAATCAATACACGCCATGCCCTGGAGAATTCTGAACAGTAGCTCTTTCAATAATCCAAATTATGGGAGAGGGTACATCTGCCCTCCGATCCAGAAGGCGCTGGAGTGAGAAGGCGACCCAGGAGGTCGCGGCTTGCCTGGGCGCTGGGGGAGGACTCTGGTCGGAGGTAATTATGTCACTGTGCTTTCTCGCCGTGACAGCCGAATAAACACAATCTCCAATAAACATCTCTAATGAGGGAGGAGGCCCGAGGATGGCTGGCTTTGATTTATGGCTGGAGGAGAAGGTCCACTTCCCACA